TTCTTTCTTGCTTTTCTATCCCCCTGCATTTACCCAGTTCTTCAATATTTTTACTTTTTGTAGCAAGGAGAACCTATTCACATGGCAACAGCAGACTCAACCAGTTACTCTCAGCGTGTAATTTTTTAATTTTCTTTTTTCTTTTAAGTTTACCACTACCGGGTGTTATCTGCTAACCAGCTTCTAATAGTTGCATGGTAAAAGTGCTCTCAAAAGTGTATTTTTTCTAATTTTTCTTCACCCTGGGTGATCTGGATGTGTCTGCTGTTGCTGATCTACACACACTATTTTCATAGTTCGTGCTTCCTGTGTTTTGTGGCGCATCCCATAGTTTTCAGATCGTACGAAGATCGTCGCCATCAGCAACAGCAGTACCATCATAGCAGCCGATCAACATGGATCAATTAACTTTTCCTTCTTCTCCAACTCAACACTTTTCAACCTATCCCTTTGTTTTTGAGAGCACTCAATAAATCATCTATTAGTTGGTAGTGTTTAACAACCGTGTTTTTTGGTTTGTTGATGAATGTTATTGGAAATTTGCTTTAGTTTTCCTTCTAACATCCATCACATGCACCGTAAACACTCTAATAGAGTAACACCCAAGATGTCCACTTTGAGCTCAAATGCTTCATTTCCTATAAAAGATATCAAAAACTGATTAACTGACAAAATGTTTTTTGTTGATATTATGATAAATATTTTGTCCGTTAACTACTCTTTGATATCTTCTAGATGAACCAAGATAAGGTGGCTCAAAGTTGACGGTTCTGGTGAAACTTTATTAGAGTATCTACGGTAGTTCCTTTGAAAAGAATTTTTCAGACTAATCATATAATTTTTTAGCAACGAACTCCCATACAGAAGAGAAGAGCCCCTTCTCCACGACAAATTCGCTTCTCCAACCGGATATCGACCGAGCCCACAGGTTCCATATCGAACAACCAGTATAACTCAATACCGTGAGACCAGTGCCTAAACCTTATATTGTTTATTCAAAATAATCGCACGAGTGAACGAGTAAAAAACCTGTGTCTCTACAGCGCCTCTACAGATCTGGGGACTCTCTACACGTTTTTTCATTCATTCACTCGTGCGATTATTTGGAATAGACAATAACTGCCTTTTCTTATATGCTCATTTTCCCCTTATCTGCATTTTTGTACATTTTGGCTGTTGGGTATCCTTGCCATTTTGTGCTTTTTTGTTTCGTTTTCTTCCCCCTCCTCCTCTTCGCTCCCACCCACTTTCCACGTATCTCATTTTTTGAAAAAAATATGATGAAAAAAACCACTCCCATTTTCTCTTTCTTATGTCCTGTGCTATACAAAAAGAATAAATGCTTTGTAAAGAATTTCATTCAAATTTAAAATCAAAAATTCAAAGAGTTTTCAATCACAATTTACAAAAACTGGGGACGGTTAAGTTCAGAACGGATGGCATTGAGGACCCGAAAATTTGAACATTTGAAGGACTCTTGGTTTCAAAAAATTATGTAGAAGAGGCCAGAGAAATTATGACAAGAAAGAAAAAAGAAAACTTGAGTATACAGTTCATTTCCTACGATCCCTTTTGAAGGGTAAATTAGAAAAAAGCATGAGGAAGGAGAAGTTACAAACGGTCTTCGTTCAATTTCATTGCTGCCGCCTTCTCCAACTTCTTGTTATAATAGTATGACCAGTATACGATCTGGAAATATTTTAGGTCAAAGGAGAAATAACAATCGGGATTTAGCTTACGTTGAAAATTGCGAAGCATGCCGGAAACAAGATAGCCGAAACTCGATCAATCTTCTCGGGACTCCAATTCCAGAAGTCTTGAAGAAATTGAAACCTCATGATACCTCCCCATCTGGCAGAGCGTCGTTCCACTGGCAGCATAAACCTCTTCTCGTAACGACATAATCCGGCTGGAGACGCTTCGAAATTGTCAATGAGTTTCTTGTGAGGACACTTCTTTTTTGCACCCTCCTCGTTCTTTGTTTTGTATCCGACGATGGCCAATTCGAGAAGTGACAAAAAGATGAATGTCATGGAGACTAGCATCCAGACATCAATCGCTTTCACATAGGAGACACGTGGCAGATTTCTCATGATGTTTCCAAATTGAAAGATCATTGCCAGAAGTGCATTCACTCCTAGCATTGTTCGAGCAGGCATTGCTTTTGTTCCAAGAGAGAATGAGATCCAGCTGAAATAGTTTTCCTATTGAAATTTGCATATTCAACTCAATAGATCACCTGATGAAAATCGTGAGGTAAGTTGGCAAGTAGGCTTGCATGAAGTACCAAATGTATCTTCTTTCGAAAACTAATTTCACATGTAACTCATCCCACATTCCAGCTGGATACGGAGCTGAAACTCTCGTTGGCTCAATCTTGATCAATTCGAAATCCGGAAGTCGAATTTTATTTGTTACAGAGACTGGTTCGGGACTCTTTTCATTCCATCTCATTCGTACTTCTTGATTGTTGTAGTTGAAACTTTCGTAAATGAGATGACATTCCTGAATGTCAAGAGGGAACAGCTCGAGTGATAGATCACATGGACCCTTCACATTGACACGCTGAAAAAAACAAAATTGAGAGAGGGAACGGAGATTCGTCATCCTTACATAGTTCACCCATACGGTACCATTAGGGTAGATCATCAGAAATACATTTCTGTAAAGTAATTTCATGTTTTTCGACTCGGATTTCCATCAAAAAGCTTTCAACAAAATCACATACTTGAATGGAGAGTCGTGAATCTCTGCAAACTTGCTATTGATAAAACAGCTATTCGGTGTCCATAGTCGTTCGAGGACCTGAAAAAACGTTCCATTTACAAGATTGGTTTTAACTATACTACTACTCACTTGATGGCTCACGGACAAATTCTGTTTGCACGGATTAAGATGTTCAAATTTGAGTGCTGGATCCAACCACATTTCGTTGATGTATATATCCATCTAAAATGATTAGAAATGCGGATTTTATGACAAACTTTTTTTGGTTGGGAAGAAATTAAACTTACTTCGAAGTCGTTGGTAATCTCGTTGATTGAAGTGATGGCTTGGACCCAAAATTCGACTTGTACGGGTACTCCATCGTCATCTGACATAATATAAATGGGGTTTTGTGGAACTGCATAGTTTTTTTTAGGCGTGCGAACTTCCTCGACTACTTTATGCACAAAAAGAGACTTTCAAAGTACACCAAACGCCCTTCAAAATCTATTTTCAACCTACTTGGTATCCGGAACTTGTTGTATCCGGTTCCGTTGAGCAACTTGTCTATGATAGCTGGTTGTCGAGTGCAATTCCGTTTCCGAGGCGAAGCTTCTGTTACAGGATCATCATCCGAACTGACATTGTAATCACTGTCAATGATAACAGCGCATCTGATGAATTGGAAAAGAAGGATGATAGAAAAGATGAAAAATCGACTTGGTGTATTCCTGGATTTGCGCATCTGAAGAATGTGATTTTGAGTGGGAGTTATTTTTTATTCACAACGAGAATAAGAATAGATCCAAGATTTGTGGAAAGTGGACACACAGACAAAGTTCAAGGGGATGAGCTAGACTTTGCACCAAAAAAGAGAGACTCGAATTTCATGAGAAAAAGAGTTGCAAAGAGAAAAAGTGAGCTTATATTTGCTCATTCATCGATAAACGAACCAAATCAAAAGTTATCATTAATAATTGATAAATGAGAATTCGTAGCCTAGAGCCTAGATCTTCCTGGGAAAGTAAGTAGCAAAAAGATAGCAAGAAGAAGAAGATGAAGAAATAGGAAAAAAGTGAGAAAGAGGAGTAGAACATCAGTGAGTTGGAAAAAGAGGGAGGAGCGGAAAAGGGTGGAAGAGAGAAGAGCAAACTTGTATGAAATGGTGGAGAGAGGAAATGCGAACAAACCGGGCGGCACAAATCGCTCCGTCGTCCGGTCGGTTTTTAGATTTTTAAAAAGTCGCAAATTTTTCTGATTTCTTGGTCACAACGGGTATCCGGGGTTCAGGTGGATTCAGAATCAGGCGACGAAAATTGAGGATTTAGAAGTTCGAAAAAATGGAATTGGGAACTAGAATAAAAACTTGATAGGAAACATCATTTTTCTGGAACAATTTTTGAGCATCCAAAATAGAAATTCGGAATTAGATCACCGTGAAACCTGAAATAGAAGGTACATTGTCAAGTTTGAGCTCAATTATCTATATAAAATTTGTCAACTGATAAAATGTTGGTAGTTTTACGATTAACGTTTTATCAGTTGACAAAGTTTTTATATCTTCTGAAGGAACAGAGATAATTTAGCTAGCTAGCATCGCATATAGACCTTCTAATAGAGAATATACGTTAGTCTAATATTTCAGAAACTGAATCGTATCCATTCGAGGCAGACAATCAAAATTTGTTCAAAATTTTGATTCTGAAAAAAAATAGAACGTTCTAAATCAATATACATTAAAAATGGAACTTCTAGTGAGGAGCAACTGAACTAGAAACTCGAAATGTTGACTCATTTTTGATGCGGAACTCATGGTCTTGTTTAGTCTACTGTGAGATCTAAGAAGAAAATGTTTCTCACATTTTGTCTAGGAAAACAGATCAAACTACGAATTTGAGTCATCTTCAAAAACGAATAGAGTGGCGAAGACTTCGAAGGTGTCTAATTAAAGTTGAGAAGTTTTAGCGTTTTCACCCAAAGAGATATTGACTCTTTACTCACACCCTTTCCTTTCCTTTTTCATTGAGTTGAAACGAGGACGTGAGAAAAAACGAGGAAGAAAGTCGTTTTATGCTTCTTGGTAACCCAACACACGTCATCGTGATAATAGGGGCCAAAACAGCAATTAGCAGAAATAAGAAGAAAATTGTGTGTATTGGTAGTCAGTATGGTGATAACAAATTTGGGTAGAAGAAACGTCCCAAGATATTTTTGCACACATTTCCGAATCGGATCTACCAGAATTGAGGATTTGTGGAATCGGCGCGAGATGTGACCGGAAGCAAAACGTGACGTTGATTGTGAATCACTCATCTGGGATTTCTGATCGAGTGTTCTTGAGGCAGTGGTGACACAGGAAGAACTCAATTACCCGGCGGCGAGGACAGAAGTTGGCAATATTCTTGACTTCTTCTTTTTTATGAAGATAGAATTAAAAGAATGCGTCTGGATGGGGCAAAAATCATGAAGGAACAGGAAATGAAGGTCCAGGAGACTGATGTTCCTCAGAAGACTAATAATCAGTTAGCATTATTGTCTACCTTGCTCTTCAGTGAAGACAAGGATCACAAAATGCAAATTCGAATGTTCTGAATTTCAAACATGAAGACGTCTGGGATATCCGAAAAGCAGTATGATAAATGGGAATTCGTGGGAAAGAGTCAAAGTACAATTTACGAACATTTTTTCATGCTCCCCCGGTGGTGTTCGCAATTCATTGACGGTGAAACAAAAGGGATGAAGAATGTCCCAGAAGGAAAGGACTGCTTGGATGGGACGCCGTCAGGAGATGACGAATGACTTGGCACCCCCTTCGTCGAGAAACGAAGAACAAAAAATAAATAAGAGGCCGCCAAAAGTGAAAGAAAAGGGTTCATGTACAAAAAAAAGTTGACGGCTCAAAGGCTCAGCACTCTTTTGGTGATTCTGTACTGGTCGGAATGCAGGTCTTATTTCTTGAAACGAAGGGGATGTTACTAAGGTCCTTCGGATGCTTTTTGAGCTTGACAGGTCGTCGTGTCTAGATATCATTAATTTGCTTGCAAAACTTGTTTCATCAAAAAGAAAAAAGGGTCGAAGACCAAAAAGCGAAAGAAGGAACCATGAAAAAAGTTGTGTAGAACAAGTGATTATTTCACTCGTCACACGAACTAAATGAGCTCGTTCACTTGCGTTTCGTTTAGTGCTGTGCTGGTCATCAATGCCTATTATTACTATTATTCTTAACTGCCTTTTTGCCCCTTTTCTCTTCTCACTTCCACAATACTTTAATGAGTTCTGGAAGAAGACTTTTTTCAAAAATAGAACGGGTGATGAATAATGAATGAATATTTACAAATCATGAAATGGAGTTTGAAGTTGTGTGTGGAAATCTAAGACGACTCATGCTTTAAATTTCGATAATTTCAGGTTTCTCCCCTTTTTGAGAATATGCCAAAACTTTTAGAAAAGTTGAGGGAAGTGAGAAGTTGTGAAAATTCATGAAAACTTGGATAAAAAGTAGAGAAAAGTTTCAAAATCTAGGTAACGGAAACGACATGACGTGGAGGTCTAAAGGCGACGAAGGATCAAGAATCTGAAAAAAAGCATAAAAAATGACCGAAAAAATAGTTTGAGCAGCCCGTGGGAAGGAATAATCTGAATCAACTGGAATATCAGTTGATCATGAGGAAAGCTTTTTTCTGAAAATAAGTAATAGGCAGTTTTTGGAAATTTCAGTCTGCTTGAACAAGAATGTTATCCATAACGATCATCCCTCGATACAAACCAAAAACAGAAAAAAAAACAAAAAAGTAGTGCTCTCCGAAAATACTCAAAAAGTCAGAAGGTCAACTAAGAAGTCTACATCTTATCCAGAATTGTTTCTATAATTCTCTATTTCTCTCCAGAAGGACTGAGAGCGGAAAAGCGCAACACCGAGTGATTTTCTCAGCGGAGAGCTGCTGCTCATCTGATCGTAATTGCTTCTGATGCCTTCTACGTCGAATGGACCCCCGACATTTTCTTCTTCTTCTTCTTGTTTTTTTTTGCACGAAAAAAAGTTTGCTCGAAAAAGTAATGGGTCAATGTGCACTTTGTATTGTTTTGCTTTCAAAACGGTATTTTACAATAATACCTCGTGAATTATTCGAAAAACTCAAAATAGCATCTGGAGGTTACAAAAATCTGGCTTCACTTCCTCAACTTCCGAAATGCGCGAGAAGAAGCACGTCGAAAGTTCAGAAGCGGTGAAGCAAGATGAAACATGTCGGAAATGGTTGGAATCGGATCATAGAACTTTCTTTTTTTGGGAGTGAAGTGAGCAAAAATAAAGGGTAGAAAGGTGCGGAGAAGAGAACAACAGAAAAGTTGGGGAGAAGAAAAAGAAGAGTTTTTATCCGTTTTTTATATTGATATGTGCATACATATGTATATACACCACATAATATTGGCGAAGAGCCCCAACACCTAGAATCATTTTTTCTTCTTCTCCAACTGGTTTTATTGGATGTCAGAGCAGAAGCAAAAAGAAGAAGAAAGAGGAGGAGGAGGAGAAAAGGTATTCTGAAGAAGAGAATGAAAAAGATGGAAAAGGTAGAAAATTGGTATGATATTCGGAAGGAGTGATGAGGGAATGAGTAGTCGAATGTCGAATGGTGACGGAACAATCCCATCATTCGTTTGGAAGTAATGTGAAAGCACATAAACGGAGTCAATGGGAACCCGAAGGAAGTATCGAAATGTTCAGAGTTCGGAGGTAAAGAAGACAAAAAGAGTAGCTAAAGTAGCTTAAGCTCCGGTGAGTTTCAAGCAGGGACATAATATGATTATCTAAGCGCTCTTTTCAGTTTAGAGGCATCAATAAAGAATAGAGCTCTTTAAAAAAATTTAGAGGTCCCAAAAAAAAATAGAGGTCCGAAATCGGAAAAACACAGTTGTTATCCTAAAAGGCCCCAAAACTTAAATTTCCTACAAAGTTCAGATCCTGGCACATCATCCCGACATCAGTGCTTTTTTTGAATTTCAGACCTGAATTTTTTCTTGGGACCTCTAAACTAGAAAAGAGCCCGATATTCAACAAATAACCGCATTTCTTCTATTAGAACAAGACGCCAATGTTGAGCTTAACCATCTCGATTTCTGTGAAAGATATCAAAATTTTGTCAACTGATAAATTATTTATCATGATATCACCAATACTTCATCAGTTGAAAATTGTTCGATATTTTTTTGAGGAATCAAAATAATTGAGCTCAACGTTGACGGTTTGGATGGGCTTCTACATATTAGAGAAAATACGTTAGGAAATGGATTTTGGAATACATCGAATGAGGAACCAAATTTTACCGTTCTCAAATGATATCAGCTATCCCGGATGTTTTCTGCTAATTGCGACAGCTCGAAATTTTCAATTAGATGCTCTTAATGTGGAATACAAATTTGTAGTAGCAATGAAAAAAATAGATCACCGAGGAAAAACAACTTTCAAATCTTCCAAAAAATGCATTACATCGTAGATCTCTTTTCGTGAAAAAAGATCGATGATGCACTTTTTGATTCTGACTAACTCTGGAATTCGTCTACGAATTCCTGAATTTCTTATCAGTTCTGTGCATGAGAAAATGAAAAAAAGAAGGAGATGAGGCACGGCCATCTCACGAAATTTCTAAAATAAGATATAGTCGTTAGACAGACTAAACTTCAAAAGTAAACTTCGAAATGAGGTCACACACAAGGAAATGAGTTTGACGCAATAGCAGATGAGAG